ATATACGCTTATTGATTTTTTTTAAACAAAAATTTGTAGCAGAATATATTTTGGCTTACATTTATAAATTTTTTTATTGGATATGTTTCATGGCAGAAAGTCAAAATGTTGTTTTTTTTTAAATGTCAGTGTTTTTTCATTTATAGAGTAAAAAATAAAATACCACTAAAAGAAAGCTCTATTTGTGGGGAAAAAATTATATAAATTTCATTTATGTACAGTGTTGCATGACTGCTTAATTGTCAGTTAAGATAACGAGGCACCGTATTGCAAAAAAATGGCCTGGTCAGTGTTTGCATGACTGCTTAATTGTCAGTTAAAATAACGAGGCACCGTATTGCAAAAAAGAGGAAGGGGGGTAAATCTTCCGGAGGTCAAGTGGATAATTGCTGTATTGAACACTGGTCTACTGTATATCAACTATTGTGCCGCACATTTTTAATTCTAAATTATTTCCATGCTAGCTTCTCAAAATGCTTTAGGGAAGTGACTACTTGTTTTTTTATGAACAGGCTATGTTTCTGCGATACATCACTTGGTCTGTATAGATAGGTCAGGCTGCATACTTTGGCTTTGAATTTAACTATAGGACCTAGGAGCAGTGTGCCACCCCTATGTTAGTATAGTTTATTGATGCAACCAAATACATGGAAACTAGGGCCAGTCTTACAAGTTTCAGAGGCTGCTAAAGTTGAAGGACAGCTGCGCTTAAAGTAAAGCTGTGCTTTCATGCCAGATTTTGTTTTGGCTAATGGCAAACATATAATGAATTGGAATGTTGGATTTGCACAGTTCGGACTGTTCAGGGTTACATACAGGGAAGACAGAATGGTGAGGTCTGTGTCAGGCTAGCAGATAATAAATATTAACTAGTTTGAAACCAATGCTGATATTCCCTGCAGACTGTATATAGAGCTCCAGAAGATATAAATATTGCACCAACCCCTAAAAGTTAAAATGTATTTTCACCTTTTCAGGCAAATTGGGATAACACCAACTGTATATAATATTTGTTACATGTTCCTATTCACATAGCATAACTCTAAAAAAAAAAAAAAAAAAAAACTTACATTTTTTAGGCAGTATATTCTAAACCCTCCAACAAAAAAAATTCTGAGTAGCTTTCTTTGTTTATGAGGGGGCTGGGGAGCTGTGTTTGCCATAATTAATCCTGTTTTTTACTGTGCAGGCAGGTCTTCATTAGCAATTGTAACTAGATTTGAACAATGTCTGCCCTAACAAAGGGTTAAAAGTGTAGAGGCTGCGTTTCTTACCTTGTATGTTAATGAGGACAGACTTGGGGTAGGCTCACTAACATGGTTCAAGAAAACTGGCAGTCAGACATGACACCTCTTCCCTGAGAAACCCCTAACAGGTAAGAAATATTTAATTAAGAGAATTCTGTGTGAATGGGAACACATAACTAATATATAGTGGGGGGTTGTCAAAATTGACTGTAAAAGCGGAAATGCACTTTAACCAATTGCTCTCCAGAGGATTTACCCCCCTTCCTGACCAGGCCATTTTTTGCAATACTGCGTTACTTTAACTGATAATTGCACGGTCATGCAACGCTGCACCCAAATGAAATTTACGTCCTTTTTTCCCCCACAAATAGAGCTTTATTTTGGTGGTATTTTATCGCCTCTGTGTTTTAAATTTTTTGCCCTTTAAATAAAAAAAAGACTGACAATTGTGAGAAAAAAAACAATATTTTTGACTTTTTGCTATTAAACATGTCCAGTAAAAAAATAAAAAAAATAAAATTTTGTCATAAATTTAGGCCAAAATTGTATTCTGCTACATGACTTTGCTAAAACAAAATCCCAATACGTGTAAATTATTTGGTTTACGTGAAAGTTACAGCATTTACAAATGGCGGTATAGATTTTTTTCTACTAGTAATGGCGGCGATCAGTGGCTTATAGCAGGACTGCGGAAGGCATTCTTTCACTGTGGGGAACTGACTTGTTGTCACTGATATTCCCAGTGACACCAATACAGTGATCAGTGCTAATAATATATGTATATTGTACATTCACTGATGTGAATGTACAATATATATATATGTAAAGCACTGCGTAAATTGACGGCGCTATATAAGTACCTGAAATAAAATAATAATAAAATAATAATAAAAAGCACTGACACTTTACTAATGTCGGAAGTCCTTGGAGATCGCTGGGTGCCGGCAGGGAATCACCGTCTGGGACCTGGTAATTGACAGCCGAGGCCGAGAATGGCAGCGAACGCTGCGCCCCATACCCGGAACTGAAAAATCACATATATATATACACACGTGATTTTGCAAACTCATGCCACCCTGTAACAGTATTTCTGCTATAGGGCGGCGTGGAACCAATTTAAGCTGAATCAAGGCTAAACAAATATTGTCTAAATACAAGAGCCATGTGCATTCCTACTTTACTTTTGTAGTGTCCTTTGTGTACAGTTATTTTTTTTTTTCAGATCTGTGTAGTATTCCAGCATTAAATGTGTACTTTGCCTGTGTACATGAATTTCCTGTAAAAGAAAAAGAAAAGACCAATCATTGCTGTTCTCTCCTCATCCAGGGTGACTGGTTTTCTACGTATCCCCTCCTGTAGTTTTCTGCAGGCACTATGTGAAAAGACATAAATGTGTGGGTACCATAAAGACCATTAAGAAGATGTCAATGACCACAAAAAGTGGCCAGTGTTAAGCCACAAAACGCATTAATGGTGTTTTAGAAGTATTTTCTGTGCTCAATAAACATCAAGATTTAATGCAAATTCCTAAATGTACCTCCTCCCTTCTTGAGTGCCTCTGCATTTATCCACTTCAGAGTTTGGAGGTTTGACACTTTAGGGCAAATAGGATATTCACTTTGCAAGTGTAGTTGCACTTTGCTACTGAAATTTCCCCAAGCTTAGTTAGTTGCGGTAAAATGTCACTTTGCAAAGAATGCCCAATCACATTTAAGGAAAATAAATAAATGCACTTTTGTGTGCACATAATTGGATGATGGAACTCAGAGATATACCTTATTTATTAAGTTTTCAGGAAAATTACTTTGCGTAACTTCCCTTTCAATGTGAACAGTCCTTTTTGCCTTTTAGTAAATCAATCCCTTTTGTACAGTGTATTCAAATGATAGTTTTGTGCCAGAAATTCAGTGTTGAAACCTTTGCTAAATGAGTGTTTAAAAGTTTAGCAAAACTTTTGTTACAAATTGCTGATATGAAATTTTGCCTCAAATATAGTTATGTTTTAAAATCTGCAGTATAAGAACAATACATTTTTAAACCGTGTACAGCTTGCTACTTTTGTATACTTTGTATGCTACTTTTGTACTTTTATATAGTTATGAATCAATAAACTCCCTTCTTTTTTTTTTTTCTTTTTCTATCTATCTATCCTATCTATCTATCTATCTATCTATCTATCTATCTATCTATCTATCTATCTATCTATCTATCTATCTATCTATCTATCTATCTATCTATCTATCTAGGGAAATAAAAGAAATGTTGAGAAGTATGGGTCAAATTTCATTGCTGGGGCTGCCAAGTGCAATCAGTCTTGATAAACTCCACTACGTACTGTATAACTGATAATTATCCTGTATGGCTATTTTTGAGGCATGCCAAATGCAGTCAGACTTGTTTAATATATGCTTCGCTTATCCAGATGCCAGGCTGTGTACAAGTTTTAAAGGGTGACCAGCCTTCCAGAAACATTGTATGTTATCTAGTTAGACTAAGGCTGTTAAAATCAGAATGAAATCTGGGTCTACACAGTTGCATTCAGCATACTTGGCAGTTGGTGTGCTATTCACTCTTACTGTCTAAACCTCTGAATTGTGCTTGTTCATGCATTTTCATATTGTGCATCTGAATACACATCATAGACAAGATCACTCAGATCACATTAAACATTGAGGATGTTGGAGAAGTGAGCAACACTTTAACGTTTCCATTTGAAAAATTCCTAAAGGGCATTTAATTCTGGGGGCAAAGCAGCTTGTATTTGAAATACTTCATATCACTATATGTAAGGACACCAATCAGAATTTGTTTTGATATCTAATTAATAAAAGTATTATTTTTTAAATTTTTTTAAATGGGGTTCTTGTTAGACCTGAATGCTACCTTACAAAAGTCAAACACAGCTTGTATTTTCATTAATTCTGAATGTTCTTTAGATTTTTTGGTTGGTCCTTATGTAAACCATAATCATTATTTCCTTTTCCATATCCATCATAATAACTGCTTATCAAACATCACAAGCAACTTTTAAAGTGTAAGTTCACCTTTTTAACACAAAATGAAAAGATAAACACCATCCCCACCTCCATGGTCCACATGTGATTAGCTGTTACTACCCATGCAGCCAGTGCAGTGGTTCAGAGATTTGTAGGCCCCACTTTTCCTCTTCATCTTTCTTTAGGGATTCTAGGATGGATCAGAGTGATTCTGGTTTGTCTTGCGCTAGAACATGACCACTTTGACCAATCAGAATTACTCTGATCTATCTCAGAAGCCCTAAGGAAAGAAAGAGAAGAAGTGTGGGTGTTCTGTCTCTCCAATCTAAGCACTGAAAGTGTGATCTCTGTAACTTACAGTTGTGATGAGATAGCGATAACTCCAATCTTAGTTGAATAACACAGGCAGTGACTCGATCAGATGACACCTTGTAGATCTTGTGAAGTTTATTCCATAAACTGAGAGAAAATCTTACAACAATGAACATCGGATAGGTCAAAATATCATAATGTGATCTGCTTCATGACATGAGGCTAGAAGCTGAAATGCATTACTAGGAAAAAGGGGTGGACTATCTATACAGCATGAACCAAAGGAAAGAGAGGAGCAGAGACAAAATACAAAGAACACTTAAAGGCATATGACAGTCATGTGAAACATGGCAGTGGGGCTTTCAGATCCAAAGACAGTGACAACTAATTACCCAAGGAGGTAATTGCAGTGGGGACTGAGGGATGGTGTAGGGTGTTAATTCACCTTTTCACTGTTGTTGTGCTAATCTAAAGGCCACAAAAGTTTGGAGGTCTTTAGCTATTGACTCTGCAGACAGTTGGTGACTTCTGTGCACTGTGCACTTCATCATGTGCTTACCCTGCTCTGTCATTTTATGTGGCCTACCACTTGGTGGCTGAGTTGCTGTTGTTCCCAGTTGCTTCCACTTTGTTATAATACCACTAATAGTTGACCGTGGAATATTTAGTAGCAAGAAAATTTCACGGATGGACTTATTGCACAGGTAGCAACCTATCGTGGTACTATGCTTGAAATTCCTGAGCTCCTGAGAGCGATCCATTCTTTCACAAATGTTTGTAGAAGCAGTCTGCATGCCTAGGTGCTTGATTTTTATACATCAGTGGCCATGGATGTGGTTGGAACACCTGAATGCAATGATTTGGAGGGGGTGTCCCAATACGTTTGGCAATATAGTGTATAACAAAATAGAATTTTGATATTTTGTGGCATTAAAAGAGAACATAATTTTTTTTCCTTGACATTTTACACTTGTACTTCTAGTTTCAACAAGACATGGGTAGGTAGATCTGAAAGCTTTAAGGAATGGTGGCTCCGCTTACCTCCTGTGGGCAGCCTCTGTTAACATGGAAAAGTCTCATGGCTACTTTTACCATTGACTAGGTAAATTCTTACTTGCCAAGGGCCCACACCGTCTGCTGGATGAAACTGGGAACTACAGCACAAGCAAATTTTGGGGTCCTGTGACATTAAGGCCTCTTAGGGGCATTTTCCCATTTTTTCTGTCTCTAAATGCCCCTGCATGTTTAGAGGCAGGAATGTTCAGAAGCAGAAAAAAAAAAACACTTTCAGTGAGTCCAGAAGCAGCGTTTTGGCAGAAAAAAATGCTTGATGTGGGTAAACCCATAAAAAAAAAAATCTAAGCATACATTGACACTAGGAGCATTTAGCTCTTGAGCTTTAATTCATTTAATTGGCCAGAATAAATTATTATTTTGGCCAATGAAATTAATTACCGACCAAGCACTTGTTGAGCCTTATACACATTTATAAGCGTCAAGCATTTTTTTTTCTACCAAAACTCTGCTGCCAGGAGGAAAGGCATCTCCTGTAGGAGAGATTGCCAAAATGTACAGTGTGCATGGAGTCTAACAGGTGACAAGTGTTAGTTCAGCTCAGATCTACTGGTATTGTTATTCTGATTGCTGTTCTTATTGTGGTCCTGGTTTTTCCTCTGGTTCCTGCTATTTCTCTTTCTTCTGTTGTTATATAATTCAGCCTTATTGCTTGTCTAACCATGTTTATGGACAATATTTTTGCCTGCTGGTTAATTACTTTGCTGCAGCTGCCTCCTAACTCACTAGCTTTTATCAGTGTCATTTACCAACAGGATGCATGTGGCAACCTTTGCCATTGTAATTTTTTTGAAAAAACTGGAAATGGCAAAGAAAAACTATGCAACAGGAGATAGGGAGCAACTTGTTGAGAATCTTTCCCTGAAAGAGTGGTGTTGCCAACCATCTGGTCACCATCTATATAGGACATAAATCCTATGGAACCTACAGTCTGGGCTTTCTGTATGTTTTTTCTCTTAGTGTATAGTTTTTCTAATATATTTTCCTGTCAAGAAAAGTATCAAAGTGAATGTCCTGTTCAACCCCAGCAAGAAGTTTTTGATCCTTACATTTTTCATATTGTTTACCAGTCCTGTCTCTAGCATTCCTAGAACAAGTACCCAGGTGGAAGACATGTATGCTGTAGGGCTATTGTCCTATAATCTTTGCCATAACAAGTTTCTTACCATCTGTGGTCTCATCGTGCCATAAATTTATTCATTAGCCTATCCAATAGCTGCACCATATTCAATGTGGGGGATAGGTCCTGCTGATAAGTCTTCTAGCCCTCTTACAAGAGATCTTTTACACCAATGGGGCTTCCCCCAAAAAAATTTAGATACATCATACAGTTTACTTCCACTTTTTATAGAACCTCTTATAACCTAGATATTAAGCTGGACCCCTTTTCTGCCTTGCAATGTAAGTCAAATTGCCTGATTCTTGTGTTATGTATAGATGGGCCACTTTCCTGGGCAAAGATTGATCATTTCAAATAAGGTCAATGAATCATCTGGATTTTTTTTTTTTGTGCTCTAATTCTCTTCTCTCTACAGTCCCCTCTTCCTCTTCCTATTCAAGCCTCTTTAGCTTCACCCACAGCCAGATGTGATAGAACCATTCTTTACAGAGTTTAAAAGGACACTTGGAAAGTATTATGGATATCTTTGTCATCATACCAAGTAAAGGTTGATATCCAGTCCTACTTGTTGCCTACAGGTTGTGGGTGGGGACAGCTCTCCATACATGTGAGGGTACTCTTCTCATGAACATTCTCACTAATGCTAGGGACCAGACTGGACTGTTCATATGAATTCAACATTAAGGCATTTCTCTGTGCCCAGAAGTGAGCTGTTCACTTTCAGCAGCTTCAATAAATGTGAGGCTCCATACTGTGAACAGACTGCCTCAAGACATTACACACCTTGTCTTCCAGAATGTAGCATTTAGAGGGGGTCACCGCTAACCTTGTGTTCTGCTCCACCAGTCCAACTTTCCTGTCATTCTGTCACCTCACTTCCAGTGACAGAATAGGGGCTTCTATGCATGCACTAATTAACTTCTTTGACTCTCCCGTGGCTACATCCATGGGGTCTCTGTGCTGCTGATCCTGTCCTGATTGCTTTTGGGATACTGACAAGGAGGGAGTAAGCACACTAACCCCCTCCCTAACCTGAGGAACCATCACTGATGCCCTACCACTTTCCACTGTCTGGCTGCGATTACGTTCTCTGGTAACTGATAACTGCCAGCACCTGCTTACAAGTTTAAATGCTTTATTCTAAATCACCCAGGAAAGATTTAATATATGGCTGAGAGGGTTATACAACCCAAATCCTGAACAATCCTGAACCTGTGCAATCCTGGGTTTTTAAAGCAAAACAGTTGTGCAAAACAATTTGTCTTTGCTGCTGTCTATCACATTAATAGAGAGGCTTGGGAGATGGAGGGGGTTGTGCTAAATTCAACTTTTACAGGAAGGTTAATATTTACATACATATTTACATATACATGGATCTATTGATTGCTTTGACAGTCTTTTTCATTGAAGGTGACACAAAACTTATGTTTTTTTTATTTGCCTAGGGTTTTGACTTGTTTACTGTTCTACTTTTCTTCTCATTTTTCCCTTCTCTCTCCCTTTATGAGGATATCCAAAAATACAGTGGGAATAAAGACATATGTGTGTGTGGTCTTTGGTGCCATTATCACTGCTAGTTATACTGTATATGTAGAACGTATTCTACTAGGTGCTAATGGCATTGATTAATAATCTCCATGTATTCTTTTATCTTTCCAGTCCAAGACTGAGAGTGTCCTTCATTGTATTCTCGACTCAAGCAACTACGATTTTGGAATTAACAGATAACAGGTACATACCTATTACACTATGTGTTTTTGATTATCAGGCCAAAAGCAGACATCATTGCTGAATGTTGTATGTTTTACCAAGACATGCATTGTTTTTTTGTAAGGGGAAACACATTTCATATTCAAATATATGGAAAGTGTTTCCTTAATTAGCTATTACATTACATTTATTTACATATCTATTTTTCTTTTCTTTTCATGCTGTAGCTTTTATTCTAAAAAAAAAATAAGACCACCTATAAATAAACTGATTATACCTCATCCAGTAGTCCTGTACTGACACTCTAGTAACAATGGAGGTATTCATTAGTGCACAAGGGATCAATAACAAGTGCATTAAATGGCAGAAACACATGTTTGCATTCAAAAAAATGTTGCCATATGCTGGAAAATTTGTAAGCAATGTGTGTGATCCTCCTTATTTATCAGTGAGATGACAGAAAGAAGGTAATTGTGCTTGTGCGGTCAATTTATTGGATTGATCAAACAAGATAAATGCTCATTTAGGGCTAGGACTAAGATTTGAATAAATACTATCATTTTATTATTATTAATATTATTCCTATTATTATACAGAATTTATATAGCTCCAACAGTTTGCGCAGCGCTTTACAATATAAAGGGAGACAGTACAATTACAATACATTTCAGTACAGAAGGGATAGGAGGGCCCTGCTCATGGAGCATACAATCTAAAGGAAGGGGAGGTGTTAAAAAGGTGATAGCTGCAGGGGATGATCTGATGGAGATGGCTTAAATACAGTTCTTAGCTAGAGGTGGAGGTAGGCTTCCCTGAATAAGTGAGTTTACAAAGATCGCCTAAAGGCAGACATAATGGGGGCTGACCGGACATACTGCAGTAGGGAGTTCCAGAGAATGGGAGAGGCTCTGGAGAAGTCCTGGAGGAGGTGATGAGGGAGTTAGAGAGCAAGATGTCTTGGGAGGAGCGATTGGGACGATATCTGCGGATGAGGTTGGCGATGTAGCTAGGGGCAGTGTTGTGGATGGCTTTGTATGTTGTGGTTAGTATTTTGAATTTTATACGTTGGATTAGTGGAAGCCAATGAAGGGATTAGCAGAGAGGGGCAGTAGTTGCTGATTGGTAGGTAAGGTGTATGAGTCTAGCAGCAGCATTCATAATTGATTGAAGCAGGGATAACCTGTGTAACAGTAGATCAATGAGGAGGGAGTTGCAGTAATCAAGGGGGGATATAACCAAGGCTTGGATAAGTTGTTTTGTGGTGTCATTGGTCAGAAAGGGACAGATTTTGGAAATGTTGCAAAGGTTGAGCTGGCAAAATTTAGCCAGTGATTGGATGTGGGGCCCAAAGGAGTGGTCAGAGTCTAGGATTACGCCGAGCACCCTGGCATGAGGAGAAGGACCAATGGTTGTGCTGTTGATCTTAATGGTAAAGTCATGAGTGGGGAATTGGGGAGAAGAAAATATTACAAGTTCAATTTTGGAAAGATTGAGTTTGAGGGAGTGGTGTGACATCCATACTGATATGTCGCTTAGTAGATTTGTGAGGAGATTGAGGGTTGAGCTGGGTAGTGGAGAGATAGATCTGGGTGTAATCAGCATAGAGGTGGTATTGGAAGCCATGGGAGGTTATCAATTGGCCCAGGGAGGAGGTGTAGAGAGAGAGAAAAGGAGGGGCTGAAGGACAGAGCCTTGGGGTACCCCAGCAGAAAGAGGAAGAGGAGTGGAGGAGTTGTTGTTGTATGTGACACTGAAAGTGCACTGAGAAAGGTAAGAAGAGAACCAGGAGAAAGCAGAGTCACAGAGGCCAATGGAGTGGAGTTTACTGAGAAGGAGCGGGTGTCAAAGCCAGTGGAAAGGTCCAGGAGTATGAGTATGGAGTAATGGCCA